TATCTTTTTACTTTTTTCTATAGCCTAAGTCCTACTGCTTTTCCGACAATTTGCACCTAACAACACATTCCCATCTGAGTTTTCAAAAAAACCTGCAATGATCATGCAATCCTGCTAATCTCAATTGGCATGGCCAACAAGTAACCACCACCACTAATTTCATCTGCTATTCTGCTGTTATGTAATAATGTAGGTCCTAATTACAACATTCTTGTCATGACAAGCCATGCTCTCTGGACGATCATCTTTTCCGCCGCACCACCATTCGTAATTTGCAGTTTCCTGATGTCCTTATATAATCATTTTTCATTCAAAATGTGCCTCTTGAATTTAATAAGTTGTCATAATAACCCCTCGATTTTCATCTATTTCCATAAGCGCCCCCTCAATTTCCACTCTGTTTTGATAAGCGCCCCGTTCGAATAAGCGCCCCATTTCAATAAGCGCCCCTCAAAAAGTGCTAAAAATATTTTAAGCGCCCGGGCGCTTATTCGCGCGAGTACGGTAAGCATCTCATTTCATATAATTATGTAAATGATAAGAAATTTTGAAAAGTGTATCATTTTCGCAATACACTGTCTTTCATATTAATTAAACAACTAATTGTGATTTGGTCATTATTTTTCTAGATACAGCATTCTTAACCTGTGTGACTCTCGGAAAGGTGGTCCCAGCCGCCCCCTCCAAATTTCTAAAAGTAGCAAATATAAAGGAGAAAAAAAAAAAATTAAGAATGAGAGTGCTATTTCCGGCAAACTAGAGGTGCCATAATCATAACATTTTTCCCTCAGTCCCAACCATGGTGGGCTCAAGTTGGTGGTCTATAAAAATCTCTCCCTTGGCACAATTTTTTTACTTTGGTAAAATCTCATGAATTTATCTCATAATTATCCTTATAGAACATATTTTGCGCATGCCATATTTACAAGTCTGTGTCACCCTCAGTGTTCAGCTGCCCTGTGCATCGCAAGGGACCCAGTGTTCGATTTACAACAAAAATAAATAAAATTAGCTTTTGGGCGAAATTTACTGAATTATTTCTTAGTTTTAATTATTTAGTAAATTCTTGCATTTAGTACAGTAATATAACGTACCAGATGATAAACTTAATATTAAAAACAGCCGTTTTAATTTACATTAAAATGCTTGTTTTGATTTTGAATTAGCTCACTGAGTCACATTCATATTCACATGTATAATTATAGAAAATTTAAAGTTATCAACAATAAATGAAAATATGAAAATTAGAAGCAAGCTTTTAACATGTACGCTTTTAAATAATAAAATAACTAATTCCTAACAAAAAAACTTAATCAAGACCTAAGAAAATTTTAGATGTAAACGTATCTCCCTCCGAACACCATCCCGGTATTTCTGAGTCGAGGTTTCGGGGCCTGAATAAACAAGTGAAATGTTTTACTAATATTAATCTAGCATTCTAGTAATCTAAACTTGAATCTATAACCTAAGCCAAAACTTGAATGCTATAAAAGAGCATTTTAGCTTCCTTGCCCTTACCTTATTTAACCACCTTCCTGACGACCTTCGAAAGTTGAATTCAATTTATTCTAACGAAACTATAAATTGTATATTAAAGACGGAGAATTATAGAGTTTATTTTCAAATTATATAATAATAAATTGTACATAATTAATGAAATGTATATACACCCTTTGATCAATTTATTCTTTCATTGTTTGAGTCTTACCCATGTTTGTATGCCTATTTGAATGATTGATATATTATTATATAATATATAACAATAACATTATCTAATTATATATATATATTTATAAATTTGTTCCATATTGTTAAAAAGCTGAATGTGCAAGTTATGTTTGATTGCGTCAGAGAAAGTAGAATTTGGCTTACAAACGATATTGAGTTGTAAATTATTGGTCCGGCCAAAACCGGACCGCTTCCGACGCCCTTGTCTTATCCCTTTGTTTTGCAATCCTGAAGACCCTTCTGCCCTTCGGTAGAATACAAGTCATCATACAGCTGATAAGGCCTTGCTTTCGCAGTGGATACTGCCTTTTTGGCTTTCTTTTTTTGCCAATCTATATGTAGCTTTGTTCGCCAGTGTGTTCGCTTTATCTAGGGCCTTCTTTGCCAACTTCTTGGCTTGGATGCACTGTTGGACTTCCTCGTTCCACCACCAAGTCTCCTTCCCAGTCTTGGTCTTTCCTGATGTTCTCCCCAGTATCTCATCTCCAAGCTTCCTCATATCCACGGTCACTGTTTTCCAGTCCTGTGTATTATATCTCATTCTTTGTTGTAGCTTATTAGTTGCCTCCGCAGCAAACTGTTTTCTACTCTTCGACTCAGCCAGCTTCCATCATTTAGTTTTAGGCACTCTTGTTAGTTTATTTTCTCTCGCTTTCAATAAATTCAGCGTACAGATCAAGAGTCTGTGTTGGCTGGTGACACTTTCACCCAGGATAACCTTGCAGCCTTTGATTTAAGTTGGCATTTCATTGTCCTACACATGATGAAGTCAATCTGCGTCTCCGATGGTCCACTCTTGTAGGTTACCCTGTGCTTCTACCTTCTGGAAAAATGTATTCTCCACTTTCAAGTCGTGGCTCATCGCAAAGGCAAAATTTTCTCCAGCCTCGTTGCTTTCACCCACTCCATACTTTCCATGATCGTCATCACATCACCATTATATAATCAAAATGAAGCGCCAACAAATTTCTCATGTTTTATTACTAGCGATTTTCGGCAACCATAGATATCTAATTAATATGTGTGATGTACTACAGAAAATAAATATTAAAAACATTGTCCTTGATGTATTTAATTTAGGCCAACCTACTTAGCCATTAGTCCACACCATAGGACTGAGGTGGGAACATTTGGGGAAATATTACCCCTAGATTACCGGAAATGACACTCTTATAATAGAAAATTCATCATCATCGATCAAATAATCGCTGTGATGTTCCATTGAAAATAAAACTCAATTGTCTTTGATGTAGGCCTATTTTAATTTACTGTACTTTACCATGTGCCGAAACCCAATCTTATTATATTTTTATTACATGCTTTTTTTTCATACTTCTCAAATTATAATAAAGGCACGCGCACCCGAGTCGTGTATTATAAGTAGGCCTAATTCAGATGTTTGTGCAATGTGGGCAGAGACAGAGTACCAATTGTAGGGCCTACAGCACACTTTCGTTAAAACCTGGGTCATTTATACAGGTGACATCTACAATTGTTCATGACCATGCGCATATACACGGTTTCATAAATCTCGCAATCCGACTTTAGATCTCGGTGGATGGAACCTCATTTTTTTGGTTAATGTTTAGAATATTTTATTTTCTCTGATTGACCATGTTCTGACGTTTTACTACGGTATCTTGACAGAATGAATGGGTACCTGGTACGATTTAACTGCTAATATGGGTTTGCTCTATCTTGAGCAGACCCATAACCAGGATTTTCTAGCCTTTAGGAAGCATAGACCCTGGTGTGGTACACACGAAGCACCATGGAGTACAAGCATGATAATGGTCAATTTGATCATCATTTTTATAATACTTGATGCAAGCGGTGAGTGATGGATTGAATCAGCTGGGAATCGCTCAAAAATGGGTAGGGCCGAACCATTGAAACCCGCTGGGTAATGGCCTAGTACTGAGTATTCATGAATGACAAGAAACACTCATGAGTGTAGATTATTGTAATGTGAAGGGACTGAGATGTTCAGCGTAAAATGCTATATAAATTGCTTGCTTTTATTCAGCTAGTCTTCATTCACATAAGTAGGCAGAAAGAAAACAACCATAAACAGAAGACAGAGGTGACCACAATCTTGGCACACAATAGATACAATTTAATGAAAAGTATTCACCTGAGTGGACTCCAAACAAATGTTAGAGGGTATACAATGTCATCTAGCACTGACAATGTCAGTGATACCAAAGTATCAGTCAGTGAATAGTTTCTAAGTAAGTACTTGGTCCAATGGGTTACTTATAAAAACAATTCATATAATGTACAGTAGTATACTACTGTAATACCCACATAGGATAAAATACTTATATATATGTATAATAATAATAATCTTTGAAAAATATTTTACTGTCATGAAATCCTAATTGCACGGCATCAGTACATAATGAACTTTCACAGGTGACCAGTGGTGTAATGCCTATGGGCTCCTGCAGGGGGAGAGGGGGAGAGAAGTCCAGGGCCTCCAGTACGAAGTCAATCTGGAGTGTGCGAAAAAGCTTTTTCGCTCCCCAAGTCCCATGCATAGTTGTTACGCGACTGCTGGTGAATCAAGCAGAATATAAACCCACAAGCAAGCAAACATTCTAATACATGTATTACAACCCTGAGTATAGTTTTCAAAAACAGAGCAGCTTTGTATTGTACCGTATGTGCTCGAATAAATGCCGCGGCACTATACAATTTTTGGAGGCTTCAGTTTGGCGTTTACTTGAGAGCCGTGTGCATTCGAGAGCTGCGCTTATAAAAAATATTGGTGTGGCGCTTCCCATGCCCGTTCCCATGTTACTTATCTCACAAATTCCCGTAGTTCAGTAGGCCTATCATAGGTCCTACGTCATCGTAAATACAGTAAACGTTTATAAAGAATTGCTTGTGTATCATTGTGTTTATTCATTTCAACACTGTATACCGTAAATGCTTGAATAAACGCCATGGCACTTATAAAATTTTTGGCGGCTTCAGTACAGTGCTTATTTGAGAGCGACGCTTATTCGAGAGCGGCGCTTATTCAAGAGCGGCGCTTATAAAAAAATATTGCGTGGCGCTTCCCTTGCCCGTTTCCATGTTACCTATTTCACCTTTTCCCGTAGTTCAGTAGGCCTATCATAGGTCCTATCATCGTAAACAAACGTTTATAAGAAATCCTTGTGTCTTCATTGTGTTATTTATTCATATTAACACTGTATACATTGAATTTAAAACACTGTTTCATTACACACAGTGTAATATTACATACTCTCGATTAAGCGCCGCAAATAAATATCACATTTGTTGCGTTTCATTAGAGGTATTATGAAAAAAATGACCCTTGGGTATTGCCCTCCAGAATCGGCAATATTGCTTCACAATTGGTTATAAACTGGAAATAAATTATATAACTGCGGTTATACATGTGTGATTAGTTATGAATATGTAACAATATCTTATATGTTAATGCTTGTGGTACACCACGTACAGTAGATAGTCCTGAAAAGAAATGTTGTTGTTGGTTGAGAATATCTCGACTTTTCGATTGAGTAATTGCTTGTATCGTCTTCAGGAGAATAATATCTGATATTATCAGATAATAATAATAATTTAATTATACTGATATTATAACAGATATTATTCTCCTGAAGACGAAACGTCGAGATATTCTCAACCAACAACAACAGTTCTTTTTCAGAACTACCTACAGTACGTGGTGTACCGCAAACATTAACATATATTATTACTTCGCCATGCAAACCTTCAGACAGTAACAACATCTTGAAATCAATACAGGAAAATAAATATAATTCAAGGAAACTATTATCGGGCATGAAAAAATTGAAACTCGGGATTATAAAAGTTGTCCCATTGTCTGAGTGGAGTTTTCTCAGTAAATTTTTAGACATGACTTGATGATGTCCTTAACCAATCATAAACTGGGAAAACATGTATTTATCATATTAACATCTTTTCAACAAATGGGCAACATATAGGGAAAAAGGGCGTGGCAGGTTTTATTTTGATAGATTCTAACTCCAGGCTCATTTTGGCTTTAAAGTTAAACATCGGTAAAAGCTACAGTTTTGATTTGGCGGGCGATATATCAATGTAGGAAGCAGGGCGTGGAAACAGTGGAAGACCGCTTTTGAAATCTGTGACATCTCCCACAACCACCGGCTGTGAAATAGAAAAAAAAAATTAGTTGATAAATAAAATGAAACAAAAGGAATTGAAACAAATAAACAAGGCATATAATTTCTTTGACAGCAATAAATTACCTGATGTATAATAGTCTTATAGGACTATTCTTACTTTCTTCTCTCCCCGGGAATATACCAAGCAAGTCATGAAGCATTACCAGGCCCGTATCCAAGAGAAATGGAGGGGGGAGGGTTGCGAGGTGGCTGTGTATGCATCCCCCACCGCACCCCTAATTGGAAAAGTTTCACATTTTCAAGATAATACAAAATTTACCGATAATGAAATTTATTATTAAAAAATTGTCATGTTCAATCACAAAAATGAGATGCATCATTCATGTCATATTTAGATAATAACCAAAATATGTCGAATTCAAAATTGCTTATTTCAATGTTTTTGAATACTTTGATATTTATAGTTTTATACTTTGATAGTTTACTTGTTGAGTTGATTTTCTTACTATAAAAGTATTCTCTGTACTTCCATTGTTACAATGATTTGTACAAGTTAATTGAACTTTGACAAAACCAGGTTTCCATTCATCTAAAGTTCAAACGCTCACATCTCTACATCTACTTATCAAATGAAACCCATTCAAATTAAAAAATTAGTTAAAGCTCATAATTTGATCTATTCAAATATGGTATAATCCCAGTTTTTGATTTTCAATGTGTGACTTATTTTGTGGTGAGACCTCACATTTATACTCCCCAGTGGATAGACAAACACTGGATTGGACTGGATTTATTCAGTGTAAACACCAAGAATAACCCACGGAAGTCTCAAGAAGACTTATTTCCAGTGGGGTTCTTCTGGTGGTGATTGGGCAGTACACTGGGAGACAATCCCCTACTATTTTCTGAAGAGTGTACTGCGTTCCTTAACGTGCACATGGGCCATAATGCACACAGGACCAATGGCTTAATATGCCTCATGCAAAAGACGGTGCGCTCTCGTAACATACATTTCAGCCCTCTAGCTGAAATACAAGGAAAGCAGGAATGGGAATTGAACTGGGGGGCATGAGATCTTCATGGTTCAGAGAACACACAGTGGCTACCACCAGTCTAGCCGACTGAGCTAATCTGTTCAAATTTACATAGGTAAATTGCTTTGGCCAAGGAAAAAAGCTGAAGGTTGCAAAATTTAAGTACTTACTATGGTTAATGGAAGATGGTCAATGGGATTGTCCATCACATGGTTTCCAGAAGCGGCATCCAGTTCGTCTGCTGCAATACTAGTTTTGACGTAAACTGAAATTTTGTGTCGTTTTGGAGCACTTATGTCAATGTAATTGTTGAAGAAGTCTATCAGGTTTTCTTTTGTTATGTTTTTAAGGCAGGCAACTTCAATAGAATCTAGATGGAGAATATATGCAAATTGTCAAATGGAAGTAAACAAAGACCACCTCACCAGAAGTACCATCAACACTACCACCACCACAATCACCATGGCCACTAATATCTTACGTCACTACCCTCACGACAACAACCACAATTACAAGTAACACCATCACAGAATACAGACTACTGAAACTTTATTTGTCCAAAAAGGAAATTCGTTTTGTTGACAAGCTCAATAAAGTCACATAACGTTCAATGAACAGTACACATAAAAATATAATGCATCACAAAACGTGCAGTATAATAATTATTAATTACAAATTAATTAAGTTAAATTATTATTTATATACATTACCTTATATGTAATTCAAATTTATATTGCATAAATAAAAATTGCTATTTACATAATAGATTTTACATAAGAAATACAAATTGAAATAAAATGGAATTTAAATTATTGATTTACAATTGGTCACTCTTTATAAAAATTATTTTAACAAAATATTGTCAAAATCTATTTTTTAACAAGCGAGTTGTATAAGTGGCAAGAATTTAGCACAAATCACTTTCTAAAACGATACCCTTCGGTGGGTGCAGTCTGATCCTCGATCTGTTAAAAGCATAGCACTCACAACAACAACTACAATTCCCAACCATCACTACAATTCCCAACCATCACTACCAACACGGACTATCACCACCACTAGCAGCACCACTGCTACTATTATTATTACCATCATCAAAACCACCATCACCAGTACAACCATCCATCACCACCACGACCATCAATCACCACTACTACCATCACCACAACTACCACCATCATTACCACTACCAGCACAAATTTAACAAAAACCACCATCACAACATACCATCCCAACAACCACTACCACTACTACTATTAACATCACCCAACTACCATTATCAACCATCAACACAACCAACATACTGTATCACAACCACAATCACAAGAAATATAGTCTATGGTCTATTGTTTGACCACCAACTGTGCAAAATTTACCTCTATCGAAATTATACTGTCCTGAAGAAATTTCACTCCAGTATTTTCTACATTCTGTTGTTAATTTCTTCGGCTTCACAGATCGCTTCACAGCTAATGCAGAAACTTGTTGTTCAAAGTCCTCCTGTTTCATGTTAGTGATGTGATCCTTGAAAGAGAACAAAATTAAAGTATTAACAACAGGAAATATATTTTTATAAACATTTTTGAGAAAAATGTATCTTATCGAATTGATAATAAAAAAAAGTTTTATTTGTACCTTCATTTGCATTAAAAACGCTTCAACTCTGCTGTCCAGATAACTAGGGACTTTATTCGATTGGATGATCACACGTAATCCTTGTACACCATTCGACCGCCTCACTCCACTGAAGACAATATATCCTACAAATATTAAAAACAAAGGTTATAACAACAATATTAATGATCGCAATCATTGTTTTTTTTCTTCTGTAATTACTACCTCTTCAATGATGTTTGACTTAGTTAAAACAAATATAATTCAGTAGTTAATTTTTTCTTCTTCCCCACAACCCAATATCGCTCCTCTTTACTTGAGGCAGCGCGCCACCAACTTAGCAGTGAGGTAGTAGAGCGGCAGCCTTTTCTAGGTGGAAGATGCCAAAAGCCAGTATACATAGCAGTGATGGCACCGCCATCTTTACATCGGAGGTGCAGACCTTCTTCCCCTTTGCGAATGTTCATCCAATAATTATATTATATATTAGGTATGGAAATGATCATAAATGGGGGTTCCGCAGTGTGTGAACTTTCCGATACAAATCTCCAGTGCAAATTTTTGAAGAGTAAGTTGTTATGTATGTTCTTCGGTGACTATCTCTTACCAAGTTGTTCCTGTGTCCTCAGGGTATCAAAGCAAGGCTCACTGACCACCTGACACAGCAGCTCCAGTAACATGTTCTGCTGTGTTTCTTGGAGGCCAACTTGATAGTACATCTCAATGCCGCTGCTATCATGAACATCATTGCACTTATGATATTGATAGTAACACCCTGTGAAAAACAAAATCAAATATTTGTGGACCCACAAATGCACATGTTTTCATATGTTTCTACATTGTCGTTTTGCAAGACCTCAGCAACAACATACAATGGGCGGAGCTCAGCAGAAAGGTCTATTGGAAGGTGAATTGGCTTAGCATTTTCTGTTCTGGTTCTAACTTCGTGATCAGGACTTTGAACCACAAGCAAGCTGATCATTCTAGGCTGGTTATGTTTAGACGGGTTATGAAGTGGTGGTGCTATGTTTCAGCCCTGGGTGGTAGTATTTCATGACTTATAAATATAAAATACATTAAATATGTACACTGTATACTGCTGAATCATCAATGATACCAACATCAGTTCAGATAATTGACTAGATATACAAACACAAAATACCGTCTGGTAGCTGGATCTCCCTTTGTTTCACCAACTGACTGGGTAATAGCGGTTTGGTAGCGCAATGGTCATTTAATACAGTCTCTATCATGTCCACCACTTCAAGTGCCCTCTGCAATTAACAGAGACAAAACAAATGTTAATTTCATTTCTTTTATAGTAATGTACTGTTTTTCTTTTTAATGTCTATTGAGGGCACTCTTCACTGTTTTAATAATTTACCTGCTTTGTTAAGTTTCCATGGAACAGAGCTTCTATATGGAGTCTTGAAAGCAACTGGGGTATAAATGCTGTTAACCTTTCCACTGTGACCTCTGCAAGTATAAGAAATTAGCCTCAGTAACACTAATTCAAAGTATATGTCATGTTTGTATGCAAATAATGTAGATTTCCTCTAAGTATAAGAAATAGCCCAATTTACCATCCAAACTGTTTGAAAGCTCCTCTTTGGTCCAGGCCAGTTCTGACATCAGCACTGCAGTATAGTACACCGCATGTTGATGAGGCTGCTCAGCATTGAAGTTTTTCAACATCCTGGAATACTGAAAACAAGTTAACCATGTCATTAAACCAACTCTTCATTACTACAAATTTTTAAGCTTACGAATATCCCTTTAGTGCAAAGGGTACGTATGTTTTACGGTACAGGCTACATTCCATTTAATCCATTTATTTAGTCTAAAAACAATGAAACTGACAAACACAAAATAATAAGAGAGAGAGGGAAAAAAAACTCTCAATTCGCCAGACAAAATTGCCAAAAAGTGAACCAAATCACTGTCTAGTGGCTCTCCAATGCCAATGAAAAAGTTAATTAGCATAAAATAGTCAAGTAAAAACATTAAAATAATATAAATGCCTCTATGTATTTTCTAACCATTTCTTTCAATAATTCAAATCGTTTCACATCGATCGTCAAGTTTGTTAACTTTTCCAGGATTTTTTTCAGAAGTATATCTTGCTTATCATTATAACCGGTAATATTCAGCTGAAAAAAAATAAAAGTTCAGTTTACAATCAATTTCAAAATGCAAGTAATTTTTAATACATTAGTCCTACAATAAATACACAGTAATGAAAAAAAATGATTAATCCTCATAATAATTTTGCAATTAAGTTACAAAAAAAAATTGATCTTAATTGAGCAATACTTACATACAGACCATAAACAGTACTGTCTAATGAGTAACCGATCCCCGCAATTTCAGCTGCGTAGGCATACTCGTTGAGGGTGTCCTTTACCAGTACCGTAAACAACCTTGTTAGATTGGTATGTAAAGGATCACGGTAACTCAGTGGACTGAATAAAAAATAGAACAAAAAATAGACATAAGGAAATCTGTCATTGATAGAGTAAAATCAAAAGAGGCAAATGACACAGTGGTAATGCTCTGGGGTTAAATACAAGAGTTTGGGTTCGAGTCTGAGGTTAGTTTGCTTGCTTGTGTCTTTGGGTAAGACACTTTACCTACATTGCTTCTCTCCACCCAGGAGCTAATAGGTATTACATAAATATTAATTAGGTAATAACAACATTTCCTTTGTCAATTCCACTCAGTACGTGGTGTGGTAGTTTCAACTACTTCTCTGTGCATGCTAAATTTATGCGGACGTTACGAAAAAAGTATAACTCATATCGAATACATGCTATCAGAACATTATGCAAATGGTGTAATTTTACTCTCACAGATGGAAATGTCTGATATAGACCAACGAGTTGCTGTAAAATATTTACGAGGTATAGCACAACAAATACAGCATGGTATTACTTCGGTCATCGTGGCAGCCAGTTGATTTTGACCAGGGCATCCTCATCTTCTTTGATAGGCTTTCTCTATTATTAAATTTGTCATTTGGAAAGAGGAATGCCTGCGCGGTGTGTAACGCTCCTACATGCTTTGCGCATTATTATTACTACTGATTATTTAGGTAAAGCAGTAACCTCAAAGCAAAGATACTACAGTTTGCCCGATTCAATTTGAGACCACTTTTGGGACCTGAAAATTTGGGGTGGTCTTGGGGTTGGTCTCCAATTAGAGGACTAGCTTTGTGTTAAAAGGTTGAATATTTTTATTTGGGTCTTCGGAAAAGTGGTCTCGAATTAGAGGGGTCTCGAATTGGAGGGTGCACTGCAGTAAGGTAAGAATGTATTAAGAAAATAAACAAAAAGGTTAATAAGTCAAAGTGGCAAGAAACCACACACCTTGTCAAATCAATACAATAACAAGCTTTAGGTAGTAGGAAAGTGTCGTCCTGTTTATGCCAAACTTTGGAGATAGGTGTATCCCTGATAAGGACCGGAAGAGCGGACGACTCCTCTTCCCTTGGGACTATGCTGAAATCCGTTGGGATGAAGTCATTCTTTTCGGGAAGTGAAAATTTTGGGTTAAAACCAGCGTTCTGCCATTTCTGTTAAAATATAAGAATTGCTCATGAATATGTCATGTAACATTTACATATTTCAATAAAACGACAAACTGAAATGAATAAATATTAACTACAATAACAATAATCACAAAAATAGCAATACACATAACAATAATTATGTACTCCACTATCATTATGTATTTTATAAAATTTAATTTACCAAACCTGTCTCTTAT